AAAAAACATTTTCTCTAGCTTTTACAGAGAGCAAATTGGTCAAGCAATGGCCGTGACTCATCCTCATGTCAGACACTGACAAAAGGATGTACAAAGGGCCGTACAGGGCTACAGGATAAATCTGGCTGACCTTATCAGATACAAAAGTTACATTTCTTTTTATATAGGTCTTGCTATATCTTGGTCTTAACCATCCAGCAGTAAAGTATAAAAACGAGGTATATAAAGTAAATCCATATTAATACGATGAGCTGTAAAAGGCTCAAGTCAATAACTCCTGAGCATAACCCACTAATATTATAGACTGCTAGACAGTGTTAGATTGTTTAGCTGAATTCAAACACCTATAGTATTTAGAAGCCAACAGAATATCCACCTCTGACAGGACAAAAAATTAAAATTAAAATTAAAAAAAAAAAAAAAAAAACTTCTGTCACCACACTGGCTAACTGCAGGATATCACCTGTATTCTGGCTTCTTTGAGGACGCATCCCTCCCTCACTCGTCCCTCCCTCCCTCACCTTCTCTCACTCCACAGGCACTTAAACTATGGACAGCTCCCCCATGTGACAATCTCTCTCAGTCAGACCAGGTTGCCCTACACCCCGACCCACAGAACCCACCACAGGATTCCTCGCCATCACCCCGGCGACATCGGCCCTGGCCTCAGCCACAGCAATTGCTTCTAACTTACCCTCTAACCTCTTTAACTTTCAGGGACTGCAAAGATGCCTCTCCTCTTTCCCCGCCTTCCTCTCTTCAGTCATCCAGTCTACATTCCTCACATTCCTTGCCAGCCCCCTCCCAATTTACAATCCAATCACAGTCCTTTTTTTCCTCCAAAAAATCTCACTCTAAGAAATCAACTGATAACTCATTTTTCCCCAACACTGCGTGTCCTCCCCTCTGCTAGCCATCAAGCTAAACAAAAGATAACAGCCCACTGAGCGAGGAGCACACTGCCCTTTCCAGTGCAGCCTGGTGCTTGCCTTCTTTTCCCCACTCCCTGTCCCCACCTCTGCAGGCAGTCTAGGTTGTAGGACTCAGCCTTGTCAGTGGTCCTCTACTGTGCTCTGCCTATCCTTACTCGCTCAGCTTGCTTGCTCCCACTCAAACCTGATACACTGCATTAGACCTAAATATATGTTTTTCTTAAATCTTTTTCCCCAAATTCCTCTTATAAGAGATCTCTGCTAATTGACTTACAAAAGTTCTGACTAGTCTCTCATAATTACAAACTTAAAAGGTCATCATAGTTTAACCTGGTCAGAAATATATTTGAGCGCACTCTCATTTTATAAAGATTTCCACGTGTCCTGTGTGTACTCGTTTGTTTTTATGTCATTCTGTAAATAGCTGTTCCTTTTTATTTGAGCTCTAAAACATAGACTTGAAAACATGCTTTCTCCTAAGTTACCAACCGTCTGTGTATTATCAAAATTAATTTATAATTAAATAAAAACCATTAAAATGGAGAAGATTGTTGGACAGGACTCTTGATTGATGAATAGAGGGTGGTCAACCTTTGTTCATCAATAGAGAGCCCCCAATAATTTGATCATTGGTTAAAAGACAAAGATTTTCAAAAATTAAAATAAGGTTTTCTCATAAAAGATGCTTAATATATTAAACATTCATGCCTTTTAAAATACTGTATGCTACAATATAAAATTTGTTTTTTCTTTCAGATTTAAGCATATGCCTTTCTCTTATGCTCCAGGTATTTATAAGTGGTTCCCATCAAGCCAACATGAGGTCATCAGCCAAATGATAATTTTATAACTAAAACTTATGTGATATGTATCCTATGTACACTTAAAGAGGCAAAAACAAAATGGGGATTTCGTATGACTGTTATGCTGCACTGCTATGTATGATGATTGATGCCAAATGATCTCTACGAAATTATATAACAACATTCTACAGGGATTTAACTGCTAAAATGTCCATGGTTGATAAGATATAATAGTTCTCTGATTACACTTCATATTTCAAGGTTCTTAATACTCAGATAAAATTATAATAATCAAGTATATTGCTCCAAACTAAGTATACTAATATAGGACAAGATTCTCCTAAAAAAAAAATTATTAATTCCTCTTTTATATCCCTACCTGTTCCTGACATTCACACCAAGCTAAAAGGACAAACCTCGGCCCTCAAACTCCACAGAAAAAGTTATTCAGTCTAACTTTCCATGTCTTCAATAATAGAGACCAAAATTAACTATACACATTGCCAACTTTTGGCTGCGGCACTCAGGACTCCCACCAAAGCACGACCTTCACAAGGTAATGCTGAGCTTGAACAATGCTGCCACCCGAGCCAAGTGTGGTGGACACTGGGCATGAGCCTGCCTCAACTTGCAGCCATCACTAGCACATCTACAAGCTCGAGGGTCTCTGGAAATGTGACTGCTCTGTCCGCCAGAAGGCGGTAAGTCATCCAATTCCCTGCCCTCACAGGAAACTTCGCTACAGCCAGATCCATATACTTGAGCTGCTTGGTCTTGTGGCTGAAGAGCAACGACAGGGTTGGGTACCATGGCCTACAAGGAGGCACCTTTGTCAAGAGTCCTGAATCTCGTTGGACATCTCAGGTAAAAAAAAAACAACTCTTTTCTTGCTGACACAGAGACCATATATAGTGTTATTCCTGAGTTCTAAAATTGTTATCTTAGCTCTACAGTCTCCATAGTGGGTGTTGACGGCTGACCTACATGACCCCTTCAGACAGGCCCATTCCATGCTGACCTCAGACACTGTTCTTCACTCTTAATTTCCTTGTGATCCCAACATGTCCCATACCTCTCATGGGGAGAGACCTCCTCCAAAAACTCCAATTCTCTCTCACCTTTCTCCCCCCACACACACTGTACATCCTGCAAGCCCAACCTCAGTGTACAGACAACTCCTCCCTCTCTCTTCCCTTGTCGACCATACACTCTGAGACACTTCCAGTTCCACTTGTGCCACACATGCTATTCCTGGACTAGTGTGCCTCAGCGATCCCACAGCATTTCCCTACATTCCCCAGTACCCAGTAGCCCCCAAACATAGAGACTCAAGTCCATCATTCTCTGCCTCCTTACCAATAGTTTTCTTAAAACTATCCACTCTCTGTATAGTGCCCTCATTCTTTCTGTACTCAGACTCAATGGCTCCTATTGTTTAGTTCAAGATCTCAAACTTATTGGTAATGTGGTTACTATACCCACTAGAGCCAAACCCTTGTACTGTGCTCTCTCCTATTCCTCCACCACAGCCTGCTTCTTGAGCGTTAGGCAAGCAGGACCACCCTCCTCACTCTTCTGGACTGCGGAGCCCGGAGTCCCGGCCGCGGTCACCCCACCCCGCGGGGAGGCTGCGGGGCTCAGCTCCGCCCGCACAGCGCGCGCAGGGCCGCTTTCTCCGCAGGGATCGCGGGGGCAGCGCGGGGGAGCCTCCCGGTTTTCTCTGGCTTCTCCTGAGGGTCCCGGCCGCCCTTCGCCCCGGCCCTTCCCACCCGGCCCCTCTCTCAGCCTATACCCTCCCATGACACAGGAAGGGCAGGGCGGGCGACCCCCAGCGGCCCCGCACCCGCCCGGCTCCGGGCCTGGGCACGTTTTACCTGGTGGGTCCCGCGGACGATACTCAGCACCGCTGAGGCCACTTGGCAGAGCAGGCAGAAACAGAGTTTGGCCAGGTCCGCGGTCCAAAAGGGCGAAAGCCTGGAAGGGATTGTGGGGGTGGGGTGGGGTGGGGTAGGGTGAGGCAGGGCGGGGACCCCCGGGGCGCGCAGTTTCCTCCCAGGCCACAGGTCAGGGTCTTTCTCCATCATCCCTGGTCCTCTTTGCCCTACTCCAAGGCTTTTCCCTCTGGGACTTTCACTAGCTCCTTAGGAATTTCGCCCCCTCCCTCCACTTCTACACGCCCCACGGAGAAGTCTTTCCCTTCGCTGCCTCTCCCTACACTTTTCCACCTCTAGTGTCCAAGGTATGTTAATTCCTGCCAAAGCTTCTTGGATAAGCAGAACTAAAAGGAAGCAGAAAGTGCAGCGCAATGGCTCGCATCCAGGGGCAGAAAGCAAAGACTAGAGTGAGCCCAAGGCGCACCCTGCCCTCCTGCTGAGGAGGGGCCTGTGGACTGCAAGGCCCCTGGAGCCCCGGGAAATGGCCCCGGGCAGGTCTGAGCCAATTTCAAAGCAGCAGGGATGTGTCCCCAAGGGAGGCCTTGGGTGGATGGCCAGCACAGCCAAAAATAAAAATGACATGGGTTCCAGGGGCCAGGGTCCTGGGGATGGAACCAGCTCTCACAAGACAAGTGGCCCTTAGGGTGATAATCCTAGTAGTGTTCAATAAAAAGCAGGCCCAGGTAGCATCAGGGAGCCAGGCTTCCCCAGTACAACAGATCATCTTGTAGGCAGAGACCCTTGAGACTGGACAGGGAAACTGAGTCCTTCCTTGCACTACTTCCCCACTCCTCCCACCAGTCCACATTCTCTACGGTGCATTACAAATTTGTATCCTTCCCAGATTTAGCTGTTCAAATGGCAGTATTCATGTGACAGCGTTTGGGAAAGGATAGAGGCAATGAGGTCACGAGGGGGTAGCCTCATGACAGGGATTAATGGCCTCATAAGGACAGAACTAACTCTCTAGCTCTTTGTGCCTCTGCTTGGGAGCATACAGTAAGCCAGCCTTGGGAAACTAGAGGACTTGGGCCCTCGGCAGAACCTGACCACACTGCATCCTGGTCTCTCACCCTTCCAGCCTCCAGTGCTGTGAGAAATAAGTGTTTCTTCTGTAAACCACTCAATCTCTAGTAATTTTTATAGTGACCTAAACTAGTACAAAGTCCTCTGACAAGAAATCATTGATACTCCCTTTCTCAGTCTGAAATATGATTCACAAATAGCAACTCCACCCAAAATTTTTTTGTTTGTTCAACACAATATCTTACCGTGTAGTCCAAGGTGGCTTTGAACTGATTGTGTAACCTGGGCTGGCCTCGAGCTTGTGGGAATCCTCCTTCCTCAACCTCTTGAATACTATGATTTTTTGTTGTTTATTTATTTATTTATTTTGTTTTTTATTGAAATTTTGTCTACCAAATTTCTTTCTTTGATGGAGGTAAAGAATTTAAGCAGATGTTTAACCTCAACATGCGTGTGCTGCCTTGGTGAGGTTAGTTCTCCTTGGTATGCTTGTCAAAAGGTGCTTCACCATGCTGGACTCAGGGGTCCTGACCTTCTGCAGGCTGGTCACATGGTCACCCAGCTCTCTCTCTCTCTCTTTTTTTTTTTTTTTTTTTTTGGTGGAACCAGGGATTGAACTCAGGCCCTTGTTCTTGCCAGGGAAGCACTTATTCCACTGAGCCATCTCCCCTGTCCTGACACCCACCTTTTTGATGACCTTAACGGCTCACCTCGGTAGTGAGTCTCCACGCAGTCACCCTTGTGGGGGTTGTTCTTATCAGTGACCTGCTTGTGCAGCTCCACAAGTGACTGATTCCTGATCTTTTCCAAGTGCAATGCATACTCCATTGCTTCAGCCCTTTCTCCCAGTCATTGTGGTCTGGTTTCTTGATCTCCTGAAGGAAGATCCAGCCACCATCCTGGTTGTGCAGCTTCCTTAGCTTCTCAGCATGTTCCCTCTCCTGGTGAGGTGGGTGAAGAAAGTATTTCATGAACTTCTTCTTCTTCTTCTTCTTCTTCTTCTTCTTCTTCTTCTTCTTCTTCTTCTTCTTCTTCTTCTTC